CAGTCCGTATATATTTACTTAAATAATATTTTATTCATATTTTTTGGTATTTAATATTTATTTTTTTCAAAAATAATATTCGGACCGAAAACAGTCCGAATATTATTGGCACGTCTATTCTGTGGACTCCCACCAGAAACATTTTTTGGTATTTAATATTTATTTTTTTCAGAAATAATATTCGGACCGAAAACGGTCCGAATATTATTGGCGCGTCTATACTGTTGACTCCCGCCAGAAATATTTTTTGGTATTTAATATTAATATTCGGACCAAAAACGGTCTGAATATTATTAGCGCGTCTATAGTGTGACTCCCGCCAAAAATATACGGACCGATACCGGTCCGAATATGTTCATTAGTATATTTTTTCCACCTGAATATATTCAGACCGATATTGGTTCGAATATTTATTTTTTCGGACCGACACTATTCGGTCCGTATATGATCGGTCCGTATACGTCATTTTTCTAGTAGTGTTAGAAGGTATTGGGCAAGAAATTGCCAAAAAAATGTGAGGGTTTGCCATTAGTTGCAAGTGTAATTGGAGGAACATTGAGTCGTGAAATGAAGACAGATGAGTGGCAAGAGATCCTAGACAGTGAAGCATGGATTTTGCAAGATGAAAATAAGAAGATTTTGTCTATGTTGAAAATAAGTTTCGATTGTTTGCCTTCATCCTTAAAAATGTGCTTCTCTTATTGTTCAATTTTTCCAAAGGATGATGTCATTTTCAAAGATGATTTAATTCAACTCTGGATGGCTCAAGGGTTTGTTCACAAATCAAATGAAAGCCTTGTGGAAATGGAGGACATTGGTGAGCAGTATTTCAATGAGTTGTTATCTAATGCTTTATTCCAAGATATTAAATGGGATTTGTATGGAAACATTGAATCTTGCAAAATGCATGATCTAGTGCATGATCTTGCATTACCTGTTTCTAAAGGTGAAACCTTGATTTGGGATACTAGTTGCAATTTTGATGTTCAGAATTGTAGTACTATTCGACATTTGAGCGTCATGTCCAATGGAAAGGATTTTCCAGCCATTCCAAGAAGTGTTGCTCAAGGGTTGCATTCTTTGTTTTTAGATGATGTTTTTTGTAGCATGGCATCAAATGTCAAAAGCTTGCGATCCTTGAAGTTAATGGAGTGTACTGGGTGTGAGATGAGGGAGTTGCCAACTTCTTTCGGCAAATTGAAGCATTTGAAGTACCTTAACGTCGTAGGAGCTGAGGTCACAGCAACACCAAAATCCTTCTCCAAGCTCTATAATCTGTAAACTTCAAAATTTCCTCATTATAATCCCACTGGCCCGGTAAGACTCATGCGCTCGAGGGGTCGTATCTGTGCTTGTCATCCACCTAATATACCTATCATGCAGTTAACTTCCCTTCAAACATTATCACACTTTGTTGTGGGCACAGAAAAGGGAAACCAGATTGAAGACCTTGGATGCTTAGGCCAACTTGGAGGAAAACTAGAGATTTTGAACCTTGAACATGTAAGATCCAAATTAGAAGCCTCTAAAGCAAACCTCAAAGAAAAGACAAAATTGCATCAATTGACATTACATTAGAGTAGTGGCGATGAAAGAGCAGTCAACAACAACAATGATGAAGAGGTTCTAGAAGGCCTTCAACCTCATTCAACTTTGAAAAGCCTCACTATTAATGGTTATAAAGGAAAGATGTTCCCATCTTGGATGGGGAATGATATCAATAGTTCTGATCCTTCATTCCTTCTTTACAACATGGTGGAGTTGCAGTTAATTAATTGTGATGAGTGCACGTGTATTCCGAGTTTGGGACTATTGCCTAGTCTTAAGGTTCTTTGCATTGAAAGAATGGAAAATGTTAGAAGAATGGGTCACAAGCTTCAGTCGGGTGGAGCGGAATCGATCCGATTGTTTACAGCTTTGAAAACACTCACCGTGCGTCACATGGAAAGGCTAGAGGAATGGGTTGAAGTTGTTGAGGATGTAGCTGCAGGGAGCCAAGGTGTGATCGTGTTTCCTTGCCTTGAGAAGTTGCTGATTTCTGAATGTCCTTTGTTGACGACTTGGTCAATGGGTGGATTTTCGTCTCATCACAAACTCTCCGAGCTGCTAATAAAACACTGTTCGAATCTGACAGCTATCCCTAGTTTAGATGGGCTCTCAACTCTTGAAAAATTACATTTATCTTTTTGCGATGGATTAAAAAGTCTACCAATCGGGCTTGGATCTTGCATCTCTCTTCAGTGGTTGATGATTTTCAAATGCCAAAATCTGAACTTCATTCCAAGTGTAAATGGGCTCACATCTCTTGAAAGACTTGGCCTTTTTCTCTGCGATGGATTAACGTGTCTTCCAATTGGGCTAGACTCTTGCATTTCTCTTCAACAATTGGAAATTAGACGTTGCCCTAATTTAATTTCAATTCCAGAAGATATCAGGAAATTGCATTCTCTCAATGTTCTTACCATCATGGATTGCAAAAATGTAAGGAGCATTCCAGGGGAGTGGCTAGCTAGCCTCACCTACTTGAAGGGGTTAGACCTTGGTCCCTTCTGGTCGGAGTTGGAGGATTTTCCTGGACTAACTTCCATTCATCAACTTCACGCCTCCCTTGAAAAGTTGGCATTGAATGGATGGGATAAACTAGAGTCTCTGCCACATCAGCTTCAACATCTCACTGCCCTCAAGGAATTGAGGTTATGGGACTTCAATGGCCTGGAAGCTTGGCTAGAGTGGTTGGGACACCTCTCTACTCTTCACAGGCTGGATATTTAGGAATGCTCTAATTTGACTCATCTGCCACATCAGCTTTGACATCTCACTGCCCTCAAGGAATTGGGCTTATCGGACCTCAATGGCCTGGAAGCTTTGCCAGAGTGGTTAGGAGACCTCTCTTCTCTTCGTAGGTTGGATATTATGGATTGCTTTAATTTGACTCATCTGCCTTCTATTGAAGCCATGCGACGCCTCTCCAACTTACAACATCTTGACATTTGGCAATGTCCCAAATTGAAGGAAAGATGCGCCAAAGAGAGGGGTCCCGAATGGTCCAAGATCTCCCACATTCTCGATATCAAAATCAATCGCGTGTACAGGGGGGATACTTGGTGGCTGTGAGAGGTGCTTCTAGAATCAACGTAGGGTGATAACGTTTTCGGAAGCTTCACGGTAGGGGTGGCAATTTCCCCCGATCCCCGTGGGGCCCCGCGAGGATCCCCGTCATGGGGACGGGGCGGGGAGGAATATTTCTCCCCGCGGGGCGAGGATGGGGGAGATTTTCTCCCTGTGAAATTTCGCGGGAAATTTTCCCCGCCCGTCGGGGCCTCGCGGGGATCCCCATCCCCGCAAAAAATTAAAAAAAATATATTTTAAATTTAATTTAATATTTAAAATAAAACCTAAACCCAACCTAAACCCAATTCAATAAAAATTAAATTTTATCAAACCCAACCCAAATATCGAACCCAACCGGCCAACCCATCCGGCCAACCCAATCCAACATCCTCCTTACAACTTGTAACCCTAATTAATCCCCCTTCCAAACCTAATTTCATAACTTTGGTAATTTCCCCTCCCTTTCTCCTCAATCCTCACTCACGTCGCAGATAGCCCCTCACTCACTCTTTGTTTTAGCCGGCCAATCAAGCTCTCAAGTCTCACCTCACCTTCAACCTTCTTCTCCCCTTCTTGTTGCTACAGATCTACTGCAAATCTGCTGTTGGAGCTGCTACAAATATGTTGCTGGAGCTGTTACAGATCTGCTCCTGGAGCTACTGTCAAAGCTGTTAGCTGCAGCTTGCAGATCTGCTGGAGTTCATCCTGCTGATTGTTGAACTTTGTCTCTGCTGCTTGCTGCATTGTGCCGGACTTGCTGCCTGTGCCGGACTCCTTCTCTGCTTGCTGCACTGTGCCGGACCCTCTCTGCTTGCTGCACTGCGTCGGACTTGTTGCACTACGCCGGACTTGCTGTAATTTTTTTTCCTTCTTTTTCAATTTCCTCAATTGATTTCCTTAATTCTGCAATTTGCATTACATCTTGGATTGATTTGAAAGCATGATGTTTAGTAGTAATCTTATAGTGCCATTTTTAGGGTTGAGAAAGTTAATTAAGGGTTTTGCAGACAGATTAAGGTTTCATTTTTTTTGTTCATAACTTCATACATACTTTAGCCTTTAGGGATGTTACATTTTGAAGTAATGAGTTCTTTTCTCTTTTTCTACTGTCTTGGGTTTATTGTAGTTTCCTAGTCCATTTTGAAGAATATTGCATGCCAGATGCCCTTCATCATCATGTATTTATACTCTTTAGTTTTTATATTCTTTGTCTGTTTAGTACCATCAGAATAATCCAATACTATTTGGAACAATTTTATTGATTTAATTATTTGTGTTAAATTAATTTTTATTTATGTTTGATGCAAAAAACATATACTTTGTTATTAATTGGTGGGGAATGGAGATCCCCGCGGGGAACGGGGACGGGAGGCAAAATTTGCCCTCCGTCAAAAATCCCTGCGGGAATCCCCGTCCCTGCCATTCGCGGGGATGGGGACGGAGAGGCACTCCCCAGCCCCGCGGGGCCCCGTTGATATCCCTACTTCAGGGGAGTGGTAAGAAAGGAGGGACACGTGGAGGTAGTGCAAGTTGATTTGCTTGCGTGGCGGTAGCCCACAACGCTGTGATTTTGTCAGTGTTTACGCCAAATGTTTGGAGGGAGCGGATTGGGAAAAATAAAGAACCAGATGGTCCTCGGATTTGCGTTCGTTGACATGCATTTTTATCTATAATATTTTATTATAATTATTTGTATTAAAAAAACATAAGGTGATAATATAATAAATATATTTTTTTATAATTTAATTTTAATAAAAACATAAATATTAATTTTAATTTAATAAATTAAAAATATTTATATATTAATTATATTAAATATATGTTAATTTTTATAATTTTTATATAAAATAATTAGTAAAAAATATTTATTAAATTTTTAATATGTATATTCAGAGTAAATATTATAATTATTTGTTTAATTTTTTTTGAACAAGAGAATTACGAAAATGAAGAGATTTTTCAAGTTAAGGTGAGAATTGTACTTTTAATTAGATAAAATTAAATATTAAAACTTAAAAACAAACTATTAAAGTTGAAAGTTTGATTTGTAATTATTTATTTAATTGGACGGCAGTTTAACGGCGGATGCAGATACAACAAGAAGTCATCACCCACGTGCGGCCCTTGGGGTCCTTACCGTCAACTCGCGTGACTTGGCACCAGAATAGGTGTCGCTTACCTTTTCCTTTATTTCTTTTTTTCTGTTAAATAAAAAAAAACAATAGAATTGTTTCACGTCGGTAACTCGGACCGTTTCGACTGGTTTCCACCGTCCGAAGGTGACCTTACAGCGAGGTGCATTGAAAGTGGTAGGGCAGGATTCAAAGTTTGTCATTAGGATATTTGTCACGTGTCATAGCATTTAAAATAACGTAATTTATATATGCATATGTTTTATTTTTTAATAGATTAAAAATATTATATTTAGACATATTTAACAAATTACTTAATAAAAACTTAAAAAAAAATATTTTTCATAATTGAAAAAAAAAACAAAAAAATAAAAGATGAAAATTATACCAACTTTAAAGATTAGAAAACAAAATTAACATTTAACATATGTATGATTGTACGTCCATCCGCACCGCTCAAATTTTAATCTTATGCCCACAGAGAGTGACGCACTGCTTTAATGTTCTGTTTTCTTTATTTAATAATTTTATTTTTATAGAAAATATTTTATTATAAAATATTAATATTTAAATAA